TAATGAGAGTTAGTTGACATGTAGGTGCAATGTTACTTATTGTCAACAGAATGTTCAAAAGGGTCCATCAAAATAAAGTGTTACCAGTTTATGTACTGTATCTCTGTTCTCCACATAATATCAACTTTTTTGTTCCCGCAGATAAAAAGAAAAGTCAACGTTTGGATTACATGAGGGTGCATAAATGATGATCGAATTATCAGTTGTGTGAACTATTCCTTTATAAAAACAAAGGCAGAAGACTCTTTAAAAGAATAATTCAGTTTGTACTGATATTAGCCTCAAATACTGCCTCAAACACAGTCACCTCAGTCAGGTTCATTACTGCTATCCGCTCTGCTGCTGAAGGAGTCTACATCTGGCTATTTATAGCGTGACTTTTGCTTTCTTTACTCACAGACAATGAGGTCTAATCTGCTTTCTTAAAGCCTCCGCTGACCCAATGGTCTTTATTCACGTATAGACAACAGTTCAAAGAGAAGGGAATAGTAAAAGGGAAGGAGGGATCTGGGGTATGTGTGGCTTCTCCCAATCAAAGTAAAATATATGGAGATAGACACATTAAGAAAAAAAACCCAAATAACTATGAGTCTGTTTGCATAAACTGCCTCCTGTAACAAATGTCAGTGTGGAAAGCCTCATCTCATTAAATGATAATGACGCTAATTAATAGTGTAGTGTTTAGTCTGTGACACCACAGCATAACTCTTTAGATTATAATTTACGTTCAGATTGATTTAAACACACAATGTAAATAATATTATGTAGAGGAGTAAGATTTAGAAGGTAACTGTCAAACTCGAGTTCAAGTCAGTTCTGTACATACTATATATATATATATATATATATATAATATGAGAAACAATGTCTCATTCATTGTATGTCTGTCTCTCTCTCTCTTCAGGGAAGGCCGTATGTGTTTGATCGGGTGTTTCAGTCTAACACTTCTCAGGAGCAGGTTTACAACGCTTGTGCTCAGAAGATTGTTAAAGGTGAGAAAGGAGTCCTCCAGCAGACATAGCAACCAGATCATGATTCAGAAAATAGTTATAATTAATTGACTCCAAAAAAAACTTTCATGATGCCATTCATTTTGGTCTTTAATAATTAATTTATATTATGCCATTGATATCAATCAAGCATCACTAAATACCATATTTCTTATATGGGGCATTCATTCAAATAGTAATTGCTATTATTGTTGTTATTGTTATTTTAGTTTGTATTGTTTTTTTTTATATTATTATTTAGTATGTTGACTTTTTAAGACAAAATTGTTAAAACGTGAACGTTCTATTGAAAGAATGTTGGTTGAATTGAGTGATGCAGTTAAATTGTTTTTGCCATGCGTATAGCCATTGCTGCTGACATGGCATTAAATCATAAACAAATAAATGTATTCAAATGGTATGCTTTGTTGTGTTGTGCCCTGCAGATGTGCTTGAGGGTTATAACGGTACAATATTTGCTTATGGGCAAACTTCCTCTGGAAAAACACACACCATGGAGGTGAGAATTCATCTAGAAATAAACTAATTCAGAGTCTTAAAGAATTGTTTTTTGCAACTGGCAGTATGATTTTCAATTAGCTTTTTTAAAACAAACTCGGACCCACTTTATATTAAGTGGCGTTAACAACTATGTACTTACATTTAAATTAATAATTTAGTACAATGCACTTATTGTGTACATACATGTTTTTACATTGTATTTATATTTTAAAAATACCTGCATGTAATTACATCTGTAATTAATTTCTGTAATTACATTTATAATTACACAGTTGACCCATCCCTTACACCTTAACCCACCCTTAAACCTACCCATACCAACAAACCTGTCCCTAACCTTACCCATATCCCACCTCAATAGCAGCAAAAGTGTTTTGCAATACAATATGAACACAATAAGTACATTGTACTTCATTTTTGATGTAAGTACATAGTAGTTAAGGCCACTTAATATAAAGTGGGGCCACAAACTCATTGTGTTTTTTTGCTGATTCAGTTTTCTTAAGATTTAATATTCTTCTAATGTTTTTGCCAGTCAGAACTATCAGTACCTTTATTGCACCGTAAATCATCACATGTTATAACAATTGAATATTTGTTTATGTGATTGTTTAGGGGAACCTGCATGATCAAGATGGCATGGGCATTATTCCGCGGATCGTCCAGGATATATTCAACTACATTTACTCTATGGATGAAAACCTGGAATTCCATATCAAGGTTTGAAATGCACAACAAATAAGGGCTAATTATTCACAGGGTTCCCACTGACATTTTCAGACTTGAAAAAAAATTAATGACTTGGAAATTTAAAGACCAAAAGTAGGAATCTTGGAGATGTCTGTGTGCGTGGTGTGTATTAGAGTTATATTATTTCACAATATTAATAAAATGCATGCAACCTTGGTAAGACTTTTTTTTTTTTCCAAAAAAAAAAAATATAAATAAAAAATACTCTCCCCAAACTTTTGAACAACAGTGTAATAATTTCAGACTGCTGGTAATGAAATTCACAGAGCTGTTCTGCATTGGCAGGTCTCCTATTTTGAGATTTACCTGGACAAGATCAGGGATTTGCTGGATGGTACGTATAACTGAATATGATACAGATTTTATCATTTTTGCATTTTCATTTATTAGAGATTGTGTAATCGTATTAAAAATAATAATAATCAGAATTTTTCTTTCAGTATCTAAGACCAACCTGTCTGTACATGAAGACAAGAACAGAGTTCCTTATGTAAAGGTGAGGTTGTGTTTTAGTAATTAGCTGTGCATGTATTAGTGAAGGAGTGGTTCACATGTTTTCCCTGTCTATCTCTTTCTCCATCTGCAGGGTTGTACTGAACGGTTTGTGTGTAGCCCAGAGGAAGTGATGGACACCATTGATGAAGGCAAATCCAACAGACATGTGGCTGTCACAAGTAAGCCCATGCAAATCAGTCAGACGCACTGCATAGCTGTTTTTAGCAGGCTGAACTTTTCCACACCTGTTGCTCTTGTTGAGTTATATTACCGCGAGTAGTTTCAGGACCTTCTTTCTTATTTGTTTATAATAAGATGTTTATACAACTAAAAAAATGTCTTGTTGCAGGGATTAACGCCCGGTCGGGCCAGTGGTTCAAATTTTTACTTGCCCTGCCAACATTTTCACTGGCCATGCCACAAAAAAATAAAGTAGTTGCTGTTGTTATTGTTTTTGATCTTATCTTGTATTCTAATAAATAAGCTTAATGACACCAATATTTTAGATACCAATTAGATTTTACATTTCACTATTTCAATTTCGATACCACAGCAAAAATCACTAGCCAAAAATAAACATAAATATAAAGTTTAAACATTATTGAAGACAAGTGACAGCTAGTAAATCAAAACAAATGAACAAATTACAAGTAATAGCACAATTAAATATAGGCCTATAGCACAAATATGAATGAAATGATGCTTTAGGTTATGTTTGTAGTATGTTCAGGTACATAAATTGAAAAATCACACATAAAATAACATTTGCATATTCTTCACTCTGTGTTGCACCTTGATTTTTCATAACCATTTGAAATTAGAAGCAGCCACTGCATTTTAATCATGCATTGATCCCCCCAAAAAAACCAATACATGTGCAATGTTTGATTTTTATTATACTGTATAATTTCAAAATCTGAAGCAAAAACAGAGTGGTCTGACTTTAGCTTTGTGAAATTATGCTACAGAAAACATCTGCATGACACAGAAACGGTAGACGGGCTGAATGAGACGTAGATTCACTCTCTGACAGAAGGCGGCGCTTATGGAACAATGATACAGCGTTTCCTTGGTTACCGCTGTAAACACAGCAGCACTAATTTGAATGCATTATACGGAGACAAAGACAATGCCATTTCTAAAAACATCCAGTTCCCCTCAGAAACATTCATATAAAATTCAATGTTTGAATTTTCTTCCTATATTTCGCGCATCGTGAATAGTGATCTTGCTCTGACTGCTACAGTATTTTCTCCTCTTTGTGTCCGACTTCGTAGTCTCTGGCCTCAGTTAAAAAAAGTTAATGGTATTTTGACATACTTTTGTATGTATTTGCCCGTTCAGGGGGCTCACGCGTGTCAGAGACGCGTGGCTGTCTGTGCGTGCGCTGTGTTCTGTAGTTGTCTTTCGTGCACAAATGTGTTTTAATCGCTTGAATTTTTTAATTAACAAGGCTTAAAAACACATGCAAATGATAAAATTTTGTGACGAAGCTGCAGTGGCCCGATCGGGCAAGTGACAAATCCATCTACTGTCCCGAACGTCTTTCACGCTGGCTTAGGGGTTAATTTAATGTTGTTAAATGCCATCAGGAAGTCCTTATTGTCGAGCCCTGTGTTGTGTGCATGTACTTAAAGTTGAGTGGAAATGGAAACTTATGCTTTCTCTGTGGTGCGTGTCAGACATGAACGAGCACAGCTCCAGGAGTCACAGTATCTTCCTGATAAACGTCAAGCAAGAGAACACACAGACGGAGCAGAAACTGAGCGGGAAACTTTACCTGGTGGATTTAGCAGGAAGCGAGAAGGTAATATTTCTGCTTCTCGCTTTTCACTTCCTTTTTCCCTCTTTCACTTCTCTCTATTTCTATTGTAAACCCATTCACAGAATTGTTTTACCTCTGTTATTCTCAGCTGGTTTCACTTCAGGACCCATAATAGTATATGTGATTTGATTAGTTCCTTATTAATGTTAGTTTCATTTGTGGCGGCACTGGCTCTCATTTTATGTTTTTGACTGCAGGTCAGTAAAACTGGAGCAGAGGGTGCTGTGTTGGATGAAGCCAAAAACATTAACAAATCTCTTTCCGCACTGGGCAACGTCATCTCTGCTCTGGCAGAAGGAACGGTAGGTGTGATGTACAATTGTACAATTCACTGCCCTGCATCATATTTGCTGAATGAAATCCAACGCTTGATTCTTACTAATTTTAGGGTGCCGATTCCAATAAGAGAGCCTGTTTTTCTCGAGCATGTTTCTTTCTTATAAAATGTGATGTGCTTGTCATAGCATTTTTGCGTTCCACAACCAATTGTAATGTGAAGAAGTCTTGTATTATCGCTTAATCACCAGATAAACTGCCACAAATACATAATTTTGAGCCTAATTACAACTGTTTGTTCAGTTTTCAGCTGATTTTCACATGTATGAATGATTCTGGAGATATTATTTTATGCATTATCCTGATTTCAAGGTTATAATTATAGAAGAAAATGCAGACATTACCCAGATTTTTCTGCTGCATCTGTGGGTGTTTTAATACATCCAAACAGCAACAGAAAATTACAGATTAAAAAGAGCGTATTTATTTATAAACTTGTATATGCAAAGTTCATTGACATTAAATGGAGTAAGTTTATTTTTTGTTCTGATAAGTGCATTAAAGCTGATACATGTATATGAATTTAAAAAAATCTTAATGTTTTGTGGAAAAAACTGTACATGATAGAAAGTTTTTTTTATTGATATTTTTGAACTCAGCATCACCAAATTAGATAATATTGGGCTTTTTTGTAATTCAGCAGAAAGTGTTTGTTTTTTCATAGATGGAAGGTTAATGAATGAATATTTCTTTCCCCCCGTCAGACGTACATTCCCTACAGAGACAGTAAGATGACGAGGATCTTGCAGGATTCTCTGGGTGGAAACTGCAGGACCACTATAGTGATCTGCTGCTCTCCATCCTCTTACAACGAGGCAGAGACCAAAACTACGCTCATGTTCGGACAGAGGTGATGAGATATACACACACTGAGAGTTTTAACGAAACTTTTGTTTTGAGCGCCAAGTAATTCTTGTTTTTTTTACTGTTTTCAGAGCAAAGACCATCAAGAACACAGTGTGTGTGAATGTGGAGCTGACAGCCGAGCAGTGGAAGAAGAAATACGAGAAGGAGAAAGAGAAGAACAAAACACTAAAGAACACCATCACCTGGCTGGAGAACGAGCTCAACCGCTGGAGGAACGGTACTGTAATGACGCACGCTTCATACTCATTCAGCTGTATTCAATGATAATTGCACAACTCTTGTGTTTTGTGTGTTTTTAGGTGAGAGTGTTCCCATTGAGGAGCAGTACGATAAGGAGAAGGCAAACGCTGATGTTCTGGCCCTGGATAATGTGATGAATAATGATAAAATCACCTCGTCTCCCAGCATGCCCGGCCCTAAATTCACTGACGCTGAGCGTGAGAAGTGTGAGGCTGAATTGGCCAAACTCTACAAACAGCTTGATGACAAGGTAAGATGAACTACTGATCTTGAATGAACGAAGATTTTGGACATTTGCTTTTGGCATTAATGGCCATTTTGAGATTTTTGGCATCAGTCAATCAGCCAATAGTATCTTCATATATTGTTTGAAATAAGAGTCTCATTTCAGCAATTATAAATAACTTATAAAGTAATTTGTAAACTTTCTCTGAGAGATAATTTCACAAACAGCGTGAGTGAATCACCACGCGCGCTCTCTCTTTCTCTCTCAAAATGCACAAATGGCTTCAAATCACATCGCGTCTGCACTAAGCGAGCTGCACGCTGCACAGTTGACACAGGAATTGTCACTTGCGCAATTGAGGCAGTGTCGCATCGTCACTAAAGTTTATAAATTGAATTTCTTTTTAATTATTGCCAGTGTTTAAACCATTCAGCACTCGCGTGCTCTCCTGGAGACCGTGCGCTCATGCACACTGCAGCGCACACACATAACGCCAGGTTCGCACATACTCCATTTGCAGTGTGTATGCGGTGCGTATATTTTCCGCGCTCATGTTAATGGATTAAAGCGTTCACACTGCACACGGTTGCGGTGCGGCAGTGCGTTCCAGTAAC